ACAACCTTTTATCAACATCTACAAATATCTATTAGTAGATGTTGGTGTTTTTAAAAGTTGTAGTTATGCACTTGTATTTTTTTTAAGTAATATTAGATTTAGTAGTAATATGTAAAGAGGTAGAAACTTTAATAGAAATTAAAACAAAGGCTGGAATAGAGACTGAAATGGAAGTTAAAGCAAATACACTATTAGATGTAGAAAAAAAAGTTAAAAAATAATCACTACTTTGAAGTGAAGCTGATGTAGATGCTGAAACAAAGGTTAAACTTGAAAATGATGCACATGTAGAAACAGAAACACCATTTGAAACACAAGTAGAAGTAAATGTAGATCCAGAAATAGGTTAGTCAAAGTTAATCTTTTTAGATATTTACTTTTAGATATTTGCTATCATTGAGATAAAGTAAATAAAGATGGATACTGACTAATATATAACAAAAAAATTTATTTTATTGTTGGGTTTAGGGTGATAGAAAATTATCTTATTAGCTATAAAAAGACAACCTTTTTTGCTATGTTTTTATTTTTAACATAATTGATATGTTATAATTATACATTTTCTTAACAAATTTTTTTGATTCTTGACATATTTCATAGGCTCACAAAGATAGTTTTTTTACATTTTTGAGCTTTTTTAACTAATTTCTAAATACAAGTGCCAAGACTAGTTTTTTTGTTTATGATTTGTGCTAATCTTTTTTTTCAAACATATGCTTTAATGCATTACCATAAGCAAGCGAATGTCCGTATGAACCAATTACATATATAATCCTTTACATTTTTCTTAAGATCTCTAATTGCATAGCTAGTATGAGCACATGAGATACCATAAAGACTAAAATTTTTACAACTACATGATTTTTTATCCAAATTCATAATGAACTTATCACCACCCTCATCAATTTCACACCTAACATTTTCATTAAACCTAACAAAACATTGAAAAACAATAATACAATGATTTTCAATTACCATCATAGATTAAGACTAATGATATTTTTTTACTTACTGAATTCTTCTCTTTTTTACTATTTGAGATATTAGATTTCTCTTAATGTTTTCACATAAAAAAATTATTGACTTTTTTTTATTTCTAATAAAATCTCATTGAATGCTTCATGGAGGTTATTGTGTACCAATTCACATCTACTGTCAATTTTTAAAAAAGCACTACATCATTTTACTTTAATTATATCCTCAACTATCTTAAAGTTTTTATCAAATTATTTCTTCAAGTTATCTTCAAAAACCTTAACTATGAAAGACTTACCAGTCTTTCAAAATCACTGTTTCATATTTTCACCCTTATAAGATCTTTTTTTACAGCAATTCACATAAACATGTTGAACACAATATCTATGCTCAACATCTGACAACAAATTATCAATTGTATTGGTTAAACCCTATATTTTATTAGAAACATAAAAACTTATTAATTCTTAACTAACTATTTAATATAAATATTACAAATGAAACTATTATTAAGAAAAGTGTAAATTGGTTTACCTTTTGTTGACCTATCATGATTGTTTATTTTATTTTTTTTTTATATTGATAACTAGCTTAAAAAGATAAAAAAACCATATCTAAAAAGCTGTGTACTCCACTTTCAGAAATGCCTAAGCAACTGAAAATATTAAACTATTTTCATATCTACCCATATCACAAATTCACCTTTAGTCAAGCTTTTTAGTCAACAATCATCTAGCCCTAGAAAAAGTCTACAATCATTCTCTAAATTTTTTTTAAGTGAATTAAAATAAATATAATATCTTTTAAACACACTTAGGAAGTTGAAATCTGTCTATGCACCTACATTTTCATTATGCTATTAGGATTAGTATCCTTGATTGCATTTATATACTCTCATAAATGACTAAACTCTTTTGTATAATCGCAGGAAACCTTATCAATAACTTTTTTTTTTATCCTTCTAATGTTGACTCTACCATTATTACCATCTTTGATTGCTCTTTGATTATTCTCTACACATTTTCATTTTTAATAAAAGATATTTTTTGAAACTTTTCAAAATACAATTCAACCAATAAAGATTGAGTCATCACGAATTTTTAAGCATCCTATTACAATAATGCTTATATTTATAAATCTTCACTTAAAAAGATTAAATTCTTAATATATGCTACATAAATAACCTATGACAATTCTCCGCAACACACTTACCTCTAACATTGATTTATTGTTGTTTTTAGTCCAAACAATTGCCCTATTTGTTTTAAGAAACAATAATGACATCATGTTTAAATTGTTCGAAATTCTCTAATAACATGCATAATTTAATATAAAAGGTTAACCATAAATGGATCATACATTAAAAATTTAGTTTTTCTCTTATTTGCATCAGCAATCATTTTTTTTTTCATCACTTAAAAGGTCACCATAATTATCTTACTCATAGTATCACTCTAATATCCTTGTTCAACATCATTATTTTTTTTTGCCTTATTATGTTTAACCTCAAATCTTATACTCCCTTATTGAACATTTACAAGAATTCTTACTCTCTCGATCATTTCTTGAATATTTACACAAATACTTACTCCCTTACACCTTTCTTGAATATTTATTGGAATGTTAACTCCCTTACTCTCTTTTTGAATATCAACCCTATCATTATAAGCATAATCAACTTAATTAGTACTATCACCAGAAACATCAACATGACAACCTACTTATTCATAAATCATTGCCTCATTCACAACATTTTCATTTTCTACTTTTTTACTCTAAGTAAGTGGTGATAAATTAAAAGCATCAAAGGCTATAAGAGGTTCATTTATGCCATAATCAATATAAATATCGATCAACCTAATTTTTTAATCATAATCCTTATCATATCAAAAGTGCTCTTATCATTTCAAAATAACCTAAGCTAATTGCCAAGTGGTCTCTTAGGCTTTAAATAAAATCTCCTCTTAATGTTAACAAAACTAGCTTCTTCACATTTGTTTAGTAACTTATAAAAACTAACCTTATTAGGGTTCAATGCAAGGTCATCAATAGTCTCACTTATATACTAAAGATTTTGACTAAATCTAACAAATTTTCCTAGGCGATGAAACCTTATTATATCTAATTCAAAACTCATTCTTCTAAAAAATGAAACAAATAGCCGATCACTCTTTTCTTACTTATGTACTAATTAAAGATAAAGTTATATAATTTATATTATTGAAATACTAATTTTTTATATAATAATTAGGATTTATGGTATAAAATTAGTATGTACATCTAAATTTTACATTAACTTTACAATCACACAATAAGCCCAAAATTTGACACTTATTATCATAAATAATATTTTTGTTAAAGATGAAACAATTTACTTGATTTTGTTGTCAAAAAGAAAATGATTTACGTCTACCCTCCTCACTACAACTCCTATGAGTCAAATGTTGACCCACAAATGCAGGAAAGGCCAAGGGTTTTGTTTCGCATCAATAGTAACAAAAGATAAATGGATTAGGAAAAATAATTTTAGGATTTCAATTTATGGTGAATCCATATGGGTTGAATCGATCAGGAAATGTAAGATTAAGGATTTCAATTTTTTAGCGAATCAATTTTGGTTTAGCGTTGATTTTTTTTGTAAAAATTTAAGGTTAGGGGTTAATCGATTTTGAATGAAAGAGATTTAAGGTTGAGAATGGTTTTCCCCAACTTCGTTTTGTTTATTTTTAAGGAATTTTATCCATTAAATAAATAAAATCATTTTCACACCACGAAAAAATCAAATGTAAAAAAAAAAAAAATCAATTCACGCGATATTAACGGTGCGTGTCTTAAAAATCTAAGGTTTCATCATTTGGTGTATTACATTGTTAGATCACAAGTACATTGAGTATTGATTTGATAAAATTAAAAGATTAAGTCATAAATTGAGTAAACCTTCAAACGAAATGGACCAAATTAAGCATTTAATCTATAATAAACTTACTAAAGTTTAAACCACTCGTATAAATATGAATGTATTTCACCCACAATTCTTTTTGCTACAATACTATAATTATGCAATCATAATAAAAAATAATGTAGGGACCCACCACTTATAGGTTATATATAAAATTTTGTTGAGTTTCACACAATCCTAAATTATGATTGGTTAATTACAATACAATGATCAACATAAATGTGAGTTGCAAATAGACAAAGATGAATGATAGTCATCGATAATTATCAAAATATTCATATTCAAATTAAATACACAACAACAATATATATTTCCTTGCAAAAAAATAAAAAAAATTAATTAATTAATTATATTAATAAGTACATAAACTCCTTCAAATATAAAAATACAATATTAGATGAAATTACCATTCTTTAACTTTTAACTAATATCTCATTTAAAAAGGTATTGCAAATACATCAAAAAATAAGATGTAAAAGTTTTTAATCACAATTGTTGTATCCAAATCATATCATGTAATATATGATAAAATTTTGTTATATAATAGTACATAATAAGGGATAATGTCACAAATAACCCATAAAGGCTGAAATTATATTAAAATGTTCAATATCATAGAATTTTAAAAATCTCTAATGTAATATAAGAACTATAAATCTATTACCAAATTTGATATTTAAAAAACTGTTTATAAGCTAATATCTCTAATATGTCAAACACTTGGCATGCCACACATTAAACCCTCAATTGGAAGGTGGTTTAGAGGATATTTACCAACTCTTTTTTAACCTTAAGCTAATAAAAAAAAATGATAAAAACACACACACACACACACACACACAACCCAGCTCTTTCTCTAAAACCTTCATATACCGACTCCGATATCCTTGTCTTCCTATGCAAATTCAGAGAGCCTGGTTGGAGTTGCACCAGGTTTGTGAGTTGGGTATAGTGATTTGTGTTAAGAGAGATTAAAAGGAAATTGTTGGTTTAGAATTTCAGCAGGTATAATACAAGGAAAAATGGAGAAAAAAAGGTGTAATATTGGGCAGTTGACCATGTCGAGTGGGTACTCATGCCATTCAGGAATGAGCTCCCATCGAACAAGTTATTCAGGAAGATCAGAATATTGTTTCTGTGGAGTGAGGCCTTCAATCCAAAACCTCCACCACATTTAAGAACCAGGGAAAAAATTGTGGCAAATTCAAAGAGGTATTTTGTTAATAAGTTTGTCTTCTAGTTATAGGATTATGAAAAACTGGATTTAATCTAACGGATGATATATTTTGCTGTAGGTGGAAACAACAGAGGACTCGTTGAATTTGCAAATATCAAAAAGAAAAAACTAAATGCCTATATACCGTGGAAAAATGCAAATAGCTATCATAAAAATATACTTCCATTAATAAGATACAAGCTTTTTCTCACCAATTGCTATATTTTATTGTTAGATACCTAGCTTGTTGGCATAATCAAAGCTAAAACCTTATTCCCATGTTATTTCCAGACCCTAGTATCTTTAGGAATACACTTATGCAACTATACACACATAGTGGAAATATCCTATATTCTAGCTAACGAAGAATCTCCTTTTCCTCAGCCGAAGATAGAAAAAATCTGAAGGTAACATAGAAACAAAAACCAGTCAACAGCGCATCAGTGAGACTGGTGTTTCTTTGCTCTACCTTGAGAGACTGATGCATCATCTCTCTTGGAACCCTCAGGTTTCCTAGCCCATGCAGGTGCTTGATCTGGTCCATATCGATAATCATAAAAGAGCTCCTCACTAGCTTCAATGCGCTCCTTGGCAAAAATGCCTACTCGATGATCCCCTGCCACCAACATTACCTGTGCAAGCTAAGGTATTAGCTAAGCCAACAAGAAATGTCCTGAAAACAATTGCAGACAGTTGTACACCTTGGCATAGCAATTTGGACTGGAAGAGTGGTTTGCAAATTTCAATTTGTCTCCTTTGCGATAAGCATCAAGGACGTACTGAAAAGACAAAAATAGCAGCCTCTTTCAGATTCCGTATGCCTCTCTCAACAATGAAGATAGTGGTAGCGTATATATAATTAGAATTCGATAATGCTGCACTGATATTATTGTAAACTTGTTACTTTCTTCATTAGAATCATTGCAGCATTCTTAGATACGAAAAAATATGTTTTTGTTAACAGAAAGGAAACTTCAGTGCTAATTGTGGGATTTTGAATGCCACTTGCCTGATCATTCAAGTCAAAAAGGAACGATGAATTTGCACGATCATAGATTTTCCCACGTTTGTCTGCTTCTCTATGGGAGATCAATTCACCAGTATATTCTCCAAGATAATCATTTTTGTTGACAGAATTCTGAACCGCAGCATTAGTTCACAGAAAAGAGTAAGAACACAAATGAGAAAAATGAAAGATTGTTTAACTATCCCAAGATTTTTCTCTAGGAAAAAAAAAAACTATCCTACTTTTAGAAAGGCTCCCCATCCAGCAACATCAGACTTTGCCAAGAGGATCTGAAGAATAAAAATATGAACGATCAAAAGTGAAGCAAAAAGAAAAATATTGCTTTAAAACATTTCCAAGCCATAATTTTACAACTAAAACATCCTAAGTTGCTCACTCTCTGCTGTTGCCTTAGAAGCAGTCTCATGTTTCCACACTGACCATCTCCTCGTTTTGGTGGCTCACCCAACAAATCCCCACCACAACTGTGAAAGGTACAAAATATTCAATACAAATGCTGGAGATAAGTGAAACATAAGCATTTGTCTCCAGCATTTGTCCACTCAGTGAGCTTTAAAACGTAGATAATATAGAGAAAGAAAGCCACAAAAAATTCATGGTGACAAATCAGAAACCAACCTGGAGTTTCTAGTTGGACAATTATTTATTTTGAAAATCAAAACTAATTTCAAAAAGTTATTCCAATCTATAAACTTTGAAGCTCAGGCACATTTTCTACACACTTGGGAAGGTTTTATAATATCTATAAGAAACTCTCAGCATGATATTTAACCACAATCGTCTTCCTTTAAATGAATACCCAATAAACATAAAAAATTTTCAACAGTACATGTTAGTGACATGTTATACAAAACCATAGAGAATATGAAACTTTACCTAACCCAACAATTTCGGCAAACATCTGGGTCACATTCACGTCCAGCAGCAAAACATGGGCACTGCCGGCTTCTGCATTGACTCTTTGCACAGTGGCAACCCCTAAACCGGTTTTTGCAACTCTTCGAGCATCTGAATAATCATGATTCCTAGTTTCAATTATTATCTAAATTAACTTTTCTTCTTTGAATTTATTAGAATGTCTCTGGACTCGATGTAGCTCAGGCTATTTTTAGTTTAAATAAAAGTTTTAATACTGAAACAACTCAGCTTATCCATAACAAAAGCAGTTAGTCAGATGCAAATATCTCAGATTTGCTTAGATATAGGTTTGCTTATCAATAACCATCTATATATATTTCATATTTGCAAGTTAAAACAATTTAACTTACCCACAATACTTTTCGCAGCAAGTTCCATTGTGCAGACAAGGGCATTGCTTTCCACACATTGATTGGCAGCCACACGGAGTATATTGCTTGCAAGACTGACTTTTTCCATCTGCGATTCTTTTCCAAATTGATGGGTGGCCAGCAGATTTCCAAGAATATTTAAGCTTCCGTGTTCTACCCCTTCTACGAAGCAATCGTGGTCTTGTTGCCATCTCTTGCTCCTAAATTGCAGAAAGAAGGTTAGTAGGGTCTTGTTGACATCTCAGCTTGGTTCTATTTTACCTTTTGTCATTTTTCCTGAAAATCAGCCACTATAAAGATATAAGCTTGACTACTTCAACAACTTTGAGGATGTTTCTTCTTTTTACATTGCTTAACTGAATGGTCAAACCCTAATGAACATGTAACTGCAATTGCAGATTCTAATCCCACCCTGTATCTGTGGATTCTCCAACTTTCTTTGTAATTTAAAACGTCCAGAGGATAATTTTATAATTTTTTTTTTTTTTTTTCAATTGGCAAGCATTTAAACTAAAATGAACTACTAAAAGGCATGCTTGCAATTGTAGCTGGTAAAGGAAACAGCATCACAGATATGACCTCAAGACAATCATGCAGGCTGGAAACCTTTTTTTCACTCCTTTATCAAAGAAAGGCAATGTGGTAGGGAATAGAAAGGAAATAGGGTTCTGATACATACCATATAATCTGTTTCGGATTTCCCATTTTCTTCCAAAAAAGAACTTGTCATGGTGGACTTATGAAGTGTTGAAGCTCCACCATCACACATGTAACTTGATACCTCCATGCAAGTCCTCAAACCAGAAAGTAAGTTCCTGGCTATAAGGCAACTGCAAAGTATGGGATCAATCATGCATTAGCAGAAACATGATAAATGGACATATGAATATTGTCCTCTAGAAGGTAGAAGAAAGATGTCTACAATTGCAACTGTTTAAACGTAACAAATCCATCATGACCACAAACTAAAGCTGGTAAATTGTCCGAACATGAGCATGTAACACAATTTTCATTATAAGTTTTTGGCTCCAGACATTTTAATTCTTCTAAGGAAGCTTTTGCAAACTACTCCATCAGAAAGTTAGAACTAAAGAAACCAATGCCAAAGATATAAACATGAAGATTTATATTTAACACAATAGCAACTAGTTGCATTTTATGCCAAGCAAAAGATTGACAAAGGTTGTAATCCCTTCTACCTGTTTCTCCCAAACATCTCCACTCCCTTCAAATACAGTTCTCTCTCAATAGGTTTCCATTCAGAAGATGACCACTTATATTCAGGCATCTCTGCAACACCTTTGGATCCATTGCCAATGTTATCCTCAGTCTTATCACAGGAAGCACTAGCAGGACGGGTAAAAGTTTCTAATCCCTGTTCATTGGATTCATTTTGGGTGTTTTTGTCTGTAATATGAGCTTCAGTTTCATTAAGTGCACCAACATAGGAACTTTTAGTACTTTTGTTTGGTATAGCTTCAGAAGACTCTGCAGCCACATCCATAGCCAATTCTCTCTTTTGTTTCTTACTTGCAGCATCCTGGCTGCCATCAGAACAGTGTACTGAATCATCGGATGGTCTATTTCTTTCTTGGGAGGCCTTGTGCTTTCCAGAACTTTCACGGTTATCTATTGGTAAAGATATCTCCAAATTTTGAGCTTCACCAGCACCTTCAGAGCCACAAATAACTTCTAAAGTAACAGGACTTGCTTCTTCAGAGATGCCTCTTTCATCTTGCATGAGATCTGTACCAACATTTGTATTTGGCTCTTTGGCATCAGATGATGCAGCCTGGTCTTTCTCTTTTAAATTTGTAGTCTTATCTCCATGCAATGCATTGCCAACTGAACCTTCTGGCACATCTTTGACAGCTCTTAACTGCATAATTGGTGTTGAAATCATAAGACTTCACTTTTCTCTCACAAAAGAAATTATCTTAAATCCAAATAAAAGTTAAATATGGCATATGATAGTAATGATATTTATATACTTGGAAAGAAACCAAAAGGTACTCCAAGGATATGAATGAGTGGAAATTCACATAAAATAAAATGTGTCTCAGCAAAAACACCCATATAAGCCCTAAAATAATCTTCTTCTCTTTGGTGAGTAACAACAAATTAGAATACAAAAAAGTGGAACAGCCAGAAGATAGGGACCGTATACAGGAAGCATATTTGTGAAAATATGTAGATAAACAGATTTTGCATCAAAACCCAGATCTTGAGGACAAGGAACAGCACCAGAGAACAATAAAGACAGCAAATATTTGGCAAATATGTATGAAATTTAGTCCATAAAGTTATCAGCAGTAATGTCATTAACCTACACTTCGAATGATTTTGGCAGTATCAACTCATAAGACACTACCAGACGTAAGTTAGAAAATAATAATAACAACCATACCCAGAGGTAACATTGATCACTACAGGGCTTCCTATCATCTTCATATTCAGACCAATAAGGCAGCTTTTCACTCTGTCAAGCAATAGTTCCAATCAGGTAAACTAAAGGAACAAACTCACATTAAATTGAAAGACAAGAAGCAGATTGCTTACAGGATTGATTAGAGTTTGAGAACAGCCATGAAGGCGGCAGTCAAATAACTGTCAGATAGATACAAAGTACAAAGTAGATGAGCAATGGAGTTAAAAAAAATTAAGAATTGCATGTGATATCGACAGCCAATGCTTATCTTTAAAAAAATAACGTTAAGAACAAGTGGTTAGAGACTAAATACCAGACAACGGCGGCAAAAAAGATTATCAAAAGAATCTAAAGCAGCACTGAGGCTCTTGTCCAAGGATATGCCCTTTTCAGATCCAAAATCCTCAAAATCGTTAATGTTTTGGTCACTGAATTTCTCTGCGAGTGTGCCATGCCGTTCCTGCAAATCTCATAAGAAAAAAGTTTCTAATATAGAAACCAAAAAATCATCCAAAATAAGACAACCACGTTCACATACTAATAATGCAGGATACCTGGATTTCAGAAATGGTGACTCCAATAAACTGGCTGACAGCTTGCAGAATTTCCTCTCCTAGACCATACTCTTGAGAAATAGTCCTGCCAAATTGAACATGGTTAATATGAAATGATCGAATGGTTTTTTTTTTTTTTTTTCATGAAGTTTGATAGAAAAGAACTTATCCATAGTTCATCAGAAATCCAAATTAACAGCTCTTATGGTGACAGTGTGTCTCTTCTGCACTAAATCCTTGGAACTGTTGGCTAATGTAGAATTGGAGCTCCATATGAAATAAATGCCAGCATGAAGATAGAGACTAAACTGTGAAGTGAAACAGCAGCAGTCTTTTAACGTTGCAAATTTTTGCTGTCATGGTTTTACTTCAGTGTCACCTCATCTACCTACCCACTAAAACAGTTACCAGTCCCATGTCACTTATACATTGAAAGAATGAACAATATCTACCACTTGCTTTTCTCTTGCTGATGTTCACTTCTGACTCGTATGACAATAAGAAGGAACAAGAAGTTCAACTTTCCGAGTGCAACTCTGTAAAACCAACTTCCTTTATTTTTCCGGGTTTAGTGATAGTATGTCTTTCTTAAAAAAAATATAATACTCCTCTATATTTATTTTTGGAGGTTGCATCTTTTTTACTTACCATAAAATACGATCTTCACCCTCAGAAAATTCATGTTTTTCTTCCTCAGGCTCTGCAATATCTTCCTCACTGTCACTACAGATCAAGGCTTCACTGCCATGTTGGTCATAGTATATTTGTCTCCTTCCCACGACAGACTGGTCTTCGGCCATTCTCTGATTTCTGTGCTGAATGATGTATATTTAAGATAAGACGAGCAAAATAAATCTCATGCAAAACAAGATGGGGTGAGAAAAGTGGTAAATTCATGTGTGGATGCATGTGCTGCTAAAATCTCCAACATTGAATAAATGCCAGTAACAAAACCTTCAGAGGCTTAAACAGCATTCCTATCTTTTCCTAATGGGCATGGCCTAAGCTTTTATGATCAAGCGGTGTTCAACATTTTATGATCAAGCTTTTATGTTAAGCTTTGTGGATCAAGTGGTCTCCAGTATGTTGTTAACTCTTTAAATGAAATATCCCCAAAACTTGCCCCTATTGAAAAGTGATTATTTCATAATTTTAACCAAAAATATACATACAGCCTACCGATAAAAGCTGAAGTATTGTGTAACATAAATAGACAGAACAGAATACATGAAATTAAGTCAACTAATACAGAATCCAACATACTTGTCCAAAAATATCCATGTTGTATATGGTGGCAACTTCTCAATATATGGAAGCTTGGCATTTGTTGAAGATACAACTTCATGAGCATTAGCATAGTCTCTATCGCCTGAGCCTTGAGCAAATCCAGTATACTTACAGAAAGGAATTTTGATTCTTGCAGAAAGCATTTTACCAAATCCATTCTCTTCTGTACATAGAACATTCCTACTTGATGTAGCCGACAAAATCTCTGAAATGTAACTCTCTAGCTTCTTCCTGTTCCTCTCAACTTTTTCCTGTGTACACCATACAACATAAATATGATTTATTTGCATCTCGCTTTGCAGGTTGAGCACAAATAAATTCAATTTAGACAAGTTGAGCGCAACAGAGTCACAGTTACTGATCGAATTTGTATGCAATTAATTGAAGAAGCAAAAAAAAAAAAAAGTTTGAATTTCATTTTTTTTTTCTAAAAATGATTGTGATAGTGAAATTCAAGGAAAAATAGATAATGTATCATAAATTGAAAATAGCAAGAATGACTATAATAAGTAAAATTTTGAAGTGACGAATATAACTAAACTAAGGCATAACTAATCTACCTTTATTGAAGCAGTTCTTTCTGATTGAATTTGCTTTTTAAGCTGATTTAACTTATGTGTCAAATTTCCTATGCCGTCACCAGAGTTTTCTCCATGTGATTTCTGCCATACCAAAAAATCTTTTAAAACGAATGTCAATGATTAAGCAAAACGGAAATCTGAAAAACCTCAAACTCCGAAAGGTTCAATTTTTTCTCTTTTTTGTTTTTGATATCAAAACAGAGCATGAGTTGTATTGAATAGTGATACAATTAGGAGAAACCAAGTGACTTCTTCGCGAATCATATTCCTTGGAATTTCAAGTCTATGTTATCAATTATAATCTAATAAAGAAAATACGAAATTTAAAAAAAAAAGTAAAAAGATTCAAAATTTATTTATTTCCATGTCTAAATGAGAGTGAATATTTGTGAAGATAATAAAATAAAAGATTTAATGCAAATGAAGAAAGAAAAAAGGTAAATTTGAAGATAAAAACACAGGAAGAGAATTTCTAACTCTGGATTTAGAGGAAGAGTCACTCGCCTTGGATACCATGATTGCCTGAATTGTTGCTTGCTCCGCGACTCCAACTCATTCGAGACGAAGTAAAGAATCTCAAGAAAAAGAAGCTCGGCAAAGGCCGACATGTGTCAAATGTCAGTGACTTGGCCTCCACTGGGTGATCAGCCTTTCAGTCACAAGGCGCCCTGGCTCTACCTACTATTTTCCTTTTTATTTTTTTCTTACTCTAAAGTATGGGCCCAAGAAATTTCAACGGCTTGATGTGGTTGCCCGACGATTGTGAAATTTCTAGGCTTTGCCGAATAGGCTTTATGCTTGTTTTGACAACTTGGTGGGACTTTTTCTCATTGCACCCTGATGTCGCGTTATGAGTATACATTTTTTTAAATTTAATCATAAAACCTCTTATCACATTTATTAAGATCTTAAATAATACATTAATATTCATAAATTATTTGAATTTATTCAAACGAAATTTAAATTTAATTTAATTTAATTATTATTAAATTAAATTCGAATTCGAATAACTTGATTTATTGATCGAATTAAATTCAAATATTCTTATATCTTGTTCGATTAGCTTATTAATATAATTAAGTTTTTATATTTAAATATATTTTTATTATTTTAATTAATAAAATATTTCAAATTTAAGTTCAAACTCATATATAAATAATCGAACTTTTGTCGAATATAAGAATCGAACTTATTTTTATATATTAATCGAGTCTAATTAAGTGAGTTCAAGTAGTTTGATTTTTATTTCAAATTAAGTTTGAACTAAAAAAATAAAATTCGATCTAGTTCGAATCAAGTTTCAAACTTTGAATTTCGAATCAAATTTAAACTCAAATTTAATATTGTATCGATTCAAACTCAATCAATTAAATCCTTAATCTTTGCCAAAGATTCTTTAATTAACCTAATTTATAGTTTTTTGAATTTTTTAACCAATGTTACGTGGACATATATTAAATAGAAAAAAATATTCTCATATATATCTTATTTGAAAATGTTAAATTATTTCAAAAAAATAAAAAAGAAATAGAAGCTTTGACGAGTATTTCATATTTTTATTTTACTGAACAGTTTTCTCTAGACTATGTAAAAATTTTACGTCATTGGTGAAGTTTTAAATATTAACTCATTTAAATATCAGCTTTTAGTGTTATTTATTTTCTAACAGAACTTTTAAAATTATTTGTATTAATGTATAATTTAAAGTCTTTTTTTAAAAATAGTTTTAAAGTCTTTTTTATTTTTATTTTTTTTGCAAATACTAATGTCTACAAACTAGATGTTAAAGAGATAAAAATGTCTCTAAATTATAATTTAATAACTATTTAAGTTTTTAATATTTTATTATAATTAATGAAACCTTAGTTTTTTATTTTAACTTAATTGGATTTGAACCAATAAATAGATAATTTAGTTATATGATAAAATTTAATTAATCAACCCTTAAATTATAATCAATTGAATTTTTAAAAAGATTTTAGAGAAAGAAGAGAGAGAAATAAACAAAAAGAAAAAAAAAGAAAATTTTATTTTTTATATTTTTCATATATATATATTAATTATGCTACATAATAAATTTTAATTAATTTTATTAATATCATATAAAATTTATTTTAATTGACAAAAAAATTAATGATATTAACTTTTTATCCATATAAAGATTTAATTGAATATAAATAGAGGTTGAAAGGATTGATTTATTGTACTAAAAAAATAAAAATTTCAATAATTTTTTAATTATAGTTTAGTGACCTTTTTAACCCTTTTAACCAAGACTAAATCTGTATAGGTTTTTAGCATTCCAGGGAGAGAAAACACCTCGTTCACCATCATCAATTCCAGCTATAACTACAATGTATCTAGATCTAAGACATCAATAAACAACGAAAGAGAAACAATTAAGAAATTTACAGCTTGCAAGCAAGTTTTAACGCACATCTACCAAAGAAAATTGGAAATTTTCCATATATAAAAATATCTCATATTAATCGTTATCATTCTTCTCTTGTTCGCACACCAAATTAATGCACGACACAAAAACCGTCTTTTTTTTTTTTTTTTAATTATTGTGAGAGAAAGGAGGATATATTTGTAACATATTCGGTCTTTGTGAAATAAATTAGGTCATAGATCTTTATACTTTATGAAAATTTAAAATTTACTCATTAAACTATAATCCATATAAATTTAGTTTATATATTTTTTTGATTTGATAATTTAAGTTCAATCATAAATTTCATCAAATTTTTGCTCTTAACTTGATAATATAGTAATTGACTTTATTGACGTGATGTTAACTTACTGACGTTACAATTTATATTGATAAAATTAGTTTTTAAATTATGAAAATGATCCGTGTACTCATATGAAATTCAATATTTAGTCTTTATATTTATACAAAATTTAAAATTTAATTCCTAAAAAAAATTGTTTTATAAAATTGTTTTTTAATATTTTAATTTTTTGAAAATTATTGTAATTTTTTTACAAAATTTAACATTTCTATTTAAATAAAATATTTAATTTTATTTAAATAAAATATTTAATTTTATTTAAATAAAATATTTAATTTTGTATTTTTTTGGGATTTTTATAAAATTGTCCATTTTTTTAATTTTTTAGAACAATTTTATAATATTTTATGTTTTCAAAAACAATTTATAAATTTAAATTGTTTTTACATTTTTTATCTTATTTAAGTGAAAAATAAACTGCAATTCAAAACTCTTCCTGTTTTGTTATTTTTCTATTTTATCTAGGTTTTTATGCTCTTTCATCTCAAAATATATCAAACAAAACAAATTCTAAAGACTCGCTTCTTCCTATAGTTTATTTACTTATTTATTTCTTTTCTTTCGAATATAAAAAAATATGAAAAATTTTATAAAAATTCTAAAAAGTTAAAACAAAAAAATTAAATATTTTGATTACATAAAATGTTAAAATTTGAAAACATAAAAAATTCAAAAAATAATTTTTATTTAAAAAATTAAAATATTAAAAAAATAACTTTAACATTTTTAAAAAACTAGAATTTTTTTTAAAAAAATTTGATATATTTAATATTTTTAGAAAATTTTTAAATTTCTAAATGTTAAAAAAAATTTTAAAAATACAAAAATTTAAACGAATAAAATTAAAAAAGTAAATTTAATACTTTTAAGAACTGTAAAATTTCTAAAAAATTCAAAATGTTTTTTATAATAAAAAGACTAAATTTCAAATTGTGTGCCAATACAAAGACTAAATTTTAAATTTCGTGTAAGTATAAAAGTCATTTTTGTAATTTAATAATTGATTTTATCCATCTAAAATATCACATCAACAAGTTAACACTACATCAACAAAGTATATGCTTACATTATCAAGTCAATAGCCATATTAGCATTTTTAATGGTTAAAAATTGATGAAGTTAGTAATTAAATTAAGATTATCAAATCAAAATAATACGAAAATTAAATTTATATTAACTATATTATAGTAACTAAATTCTAAATTTTCGCAAAGTATAAGGACCTAAGGTATAATTTGACTAATAAATTACACTTGGATCTTTGTGTATAATGTGTGCTTACAATGTAAAAAAAAATACAAATTCCTTCCCTTGATCTCTAGAAAACTTCCAGGCTGAGACAGAATGAATTGAACTTACCTTCCTTCCAACAATCACACTTTTCCTAATCCTATCAAGTGTGTAAGAACTAGCACAAGGAAACTATTTGATTAGCAAAATAGCTTAGCACAAAGAAGAGTCGCTTAACCCTAATTCCACCATTTTGAAGCTTACAAATAATGTTGATTACGCCTTTATCTTCACACTTATAACAATTTTCGTGTTGCTCTCTATTACTACAATGTTTCATATCTCATTGTAAAACACGAATTCAATTCTTATTCTTAACTCAGCATTTTGTCCTCGATAGTGTCAATGCATTGTAAAAGAACAGTGCTTTAATGAAGCAACTCACAAACAAGGGAGAATTGTGGTTTGCTTTGACTTCAATTACCACCATTATACAAGGGTTCAAATTTTTATCACTCATATTAAAAGTTTCAAGTAATTGGGCCTTGAGACCATTGTTCTTTGCACTATTCACTACAATAAATTTAGTAATTTGTGATAATTTTTTTAAGTGATGTATAATATTTCGTCATGCAAAGTATGTCAAAAGTAACAAATAATATAATTTGTCACGCTTTTATATTGTTTTGATATTTTATATGACAAAATATATAAAATCATCACATGATAATGTCACCAAAAGCTTGATGCTAAAAATAGATGGTAAGAAATTTTGTTGTGACATTTTAGATTTTTGGTGACATTATAATTTGTCACAAATTTAAAAATTTATCTATGACGCATTTTGTTTGACAAAGTCGAGGTGATGTTAATTTTTATCACAAATTGAATACTTTAGTTAATTATCAATGACGTTGTAATTTTATTATATCATTGTATGGTGTTATATGATGATAACATAAATGTCACAAACTTTTTAAAATGATTTTATGACATTATTTATCTATCACTAATAAGTTCAAATTTATATATAATTTATAAGTGATGATTTGACTTAGACTATATATCTATTTAAGAATCTTAGATTATATATATTTAAAAACATAATTTTTATAATTAGAATTTTAAAATACACATTTTGTTTAGAATTTTAAAACGAATTTAAAATTTTAAAAGTTTCTAATTAAAAAATTTTGTTAAAAGAAATTTTTTAAAGTAAATAATGAATTATAAATAGAAAAATTTTAACACTTGAACCTTGATCCATAATACACTATTTAATTTAACTTTTATACATAAAAGAATTTTAATGTTTTCCCGTAAACTACACTATTGAATGTGATAAAGAAAATTTTTTAGGTTTTTTCACACTCCCTCCAAAACCCACGTTAACAATTTCGTAGGTTCTCTCCAAAACCATTTCATCTATTTTCTTATACTCTTTTTTTTTTTTTTGATACAACCAATCTCAGCTCTCATACAATGTTAATCTTATCATTTCATCACTCTCCTTTAGTCCCTTATCTTCTACAATATACCCAATCTTAGTCGACATTTATCAACTAGAAGTCAAGGTTTATATTTGAAATTCACTCTCCATAAATTATTTGATTATTCATGTCAATCTTTGGGTTGGGGTATTTGTTTTGAAAGTAATGAATTTATGTTTCTAGATTTTTTTTTCAAATACGAAATAACAAATAAAGGGTTTCTAGATTTGCTCTATTTTTATTAAAATCTTAC